GTGAACCTCCGATTTGGACAAAAACCAGTCAAGCTTCTTAAACTCATAATAAATTGTTATTTTGTGTTTCCACAGTCAATATTTTTGAAGTTATTGGTTGTTATTTTGGAGTTATTGGGTAACTCGACGCAAATTGTTTTTTAGTGTTATTTTGGAGTTCGGCCTATTGGGTAATACGACGCGCCCTACGTTATCATAACCATGATGCATATATTTAAAATGAATTCCGGTAGTCTTCGCAACTTTCATAAACTTGTAGCAATAATCCATACGAAGAGAATTTATGTGAAAATTAGTTTGCAATATGGGCAGTTGCCGAGAAATGGGCAATTTTGCATGAGCCACTATTTACGCTAGTTTGCCTGTAAAAGAGTCAATTATTATTGGATTTTCATAAAAGTGACACCATTTGATGCGTAATGTCAATTTTAACTAGGTCAAACCAATTTAACATTTTCAATGTCACCGGAAATGACGTAATTTGGGCAAAAACTGTATTTATAGCCTTCGAAACAAATAATTTATTCAAATCAGTCGTATTTGTTTTTGTTTAAAATTTTGATATTTGATTCAAATCAACTAATAGAATGAACCCATACGATCATATATATATCACGAAATGGTTTCTACCTTGTTCAGTTGCGGAGAAATAGGCGATTTTCAACAGGCAACTTTTCAAGGTTTTTGGTCCATAAAAGTGTCAATTATTATTCGATTTTCATAAAATTTTCACAGTGTGATACCTAATGCCATTTACGATTTCATTCAAGTAATTTAAAATTTTCATTATCACCGGAAGTAATGGCATTTTGGCAAAAACTGTATTTTTGCCTTTAAAACGGATATTTTATTCAAATGAGTCTGATTTGTAATGTTTTTAAAATTATGATATTTCATTCCAATCAACAAATAGATTGATCCCATACGATCATACAGATACCAAAAAATGGTTTCTAACTTGTACGGTTGCAGAGAAATAGACGATATTCTACAAGTCACTGTTCAAGGTTTTTGGTCTATGAAAGTGGAAATTATTATTCGATTTACATAAAATTTTCACCATTTGATGACTTATGCCATTTCTGATTTTATAACATTTTCATTATCACCGGAAGTAATGTAATTTTGTCAGGATCACTTACATGTAACAAATGTATACAATGAATTGATATTGCTGGATTTTGTTGATTCTGCGTACATTGAAGGGATGCCTAAAAGACGTTCAGAACAGAATTTTGATTTCGGTCAAGATATAACCAAATAATAGTCTGTAAAGGAATTTAAATTAACTGCCAAACATTCTACGCACAACGGCGCTACCTGACGAGGTAACGAGACACTTGTCAGTTAATTTTAATTCCGTTGCAAACCTATTATTAAAACTTACAAATATTTAAAAATGTTGCATAAGAAAAGAAAAGGCAAGATATAACCAAATAATAGTCTGTAAAAGAATTCAAATTAACTGCCTAACATTCTACGCACAAAGGTGCTACCTGACGAGGTAACGAGACACTTGCCAGTTAAATTTTAATTCCGTTACAAACCTATTATTAAAACTTACAAATATGTTGAAAGTGGATTCAGGTGTTTATATGTTTTCAACGCGAATTCCGGTGATTTTATGTGTTTTAAAGTAATTCAATATTAATATTAATGGAAAATATAAGTAAATAGGAAGATTGTACGGGCGAATTCTGATATCTCTTAAGTGAATTCCGGTGTTTGTAAGTCAATTCCGGTATATGGATTTGGTCAATGAAATGAAATGGGGTTTACCACTCCTACTGTTCTGCTCCTAAACTGGGCTAATGAAGACGGGCATACGCCATACTGCAGTGTGCTATGAGGGAAATTTTGCCCGGGCAGCGGCGCTACGGCCTACTCTTACGTAATTATGAATGTGCAAGGAAATAACTGATAGATTCAAAGAGTCATAGAAACATCCTTTCGAGTGATGTATAACGGGTAGACTAATCACCGGAATTCATTTACAATCACCGGAATTCACTTCTAAAATCCCCGATTCCTCCCACAAAACCCACTTATTTTAAATGTATAATACATTTTGATCTCTCCACAGGCCAGATAAAGGCGCTGTTGGTGAATTGATTTGAAAGACTACCGGAATTCATTTCAAATATATGCATCATGATTATGATAACGTAGGGCGCGTCGTATTACTATTACCCAAAAAGCCGAACTCCAAAATAATACATAATAACAATTTGCGCGAATTACCCAATAACTCCAAAATAACAGCCAATGCCAATAACCCCAAAAATGTTCACTGTGGAAACACAATATAACAATTTAGTTGAATTTAAGAAGCCTCGCTGATTTGTGCCCAAATCGGAGGTTCACGGGAGATAACTCGTGTATGTGATTTTTGTTGACAAGAAACTAATGTATACTTTCGTTGCAATTCGTTGTAATGTATTGTAATAAAAGATTGATAATAGTTTATTAAAATAAACAATTTAATTAGCAATATTTATTTATTTATAATTGCAAATTGCGCCGATTGTCACTTTCGGTCATCGACATAATCGTAACTTGTTTAGATATAAATAAATTCTCATTCTCATGTTATCATAGTTTGTTATGTTTTTTGGAGGTGTGATTGTATGTGATTTGTCACCTTTTACAATGACAATTAACTGGTGAACATTCTATATGCCTACTATTGGCATATTATTAAAATTACACTTCATTTAATCTGGACTGCTTTATGCTACAACGGATTATCTATGAAATCATCCAAACCATTATTGATGAGACTTTATAATTATTTGATTGGCAGATTATTACTAAGTTAATTTTAGAATAAACTTAGCTCATCTACATTCGAGAAATGTTCGGTTTGACATTTTACATGGATTACTGCTGTGTTTTTTATTGTGTTTCCCCGAGTTGACCATCTGGAAATATCGTTTTACAGCAGATACATTCTAGTATTAATATTAATGCAAAATATAAGTAAATACAATTGTCTTGGGGCGGATTCCGATTTTCTCAAAGTGAATTCCGGTGTTTTAAAGTAATTTTTTTATTAATGTAAAATATTAGTAAATACGAAGGTCTAAAGTGCGAATTCAGATATTTTGTAAGTGAATTCCGGTGTTTTAAAGTAATTTATTATTATTGTAAAATATTTGTGATCGACTACGAAGGTCTGATGTGCGATTCCGATATTTGAAAGTGAATTCCGTGTGTTTATATGTTTTCAATGTGAATTCCGGTGATTTTCGGTGTTTAAAAGTAATTTATTATTGATGTAAAATATTAGTAAATAGGAAGGTCTTAAGTGCGATTTCCGATATGTTGAAAGTAAATTCCGATGTTTATATGTTTTCAAAGTGAATCCCGGTGATTTAAAGTAATTTAGGCTTATTATTAATGTAGTAAATACGAAGGTCTTCAGTGCGAATTCAGATATGTTGAAAGTGAATTCCGGTGTTTATATGTTTTCAATGTGAATTCCGGTGTTTATGTGTTTTCAATGTGAATTCAGGTGATTTTATGTGTTTTAAAGTAATTCAATATTAATATTAATGGAAAATATAAGTAAATAGGAAGATTGTACGGGCGAATTCTGATAGCTCCAAAGTGAATTCCGGTGTATGGATTTGGTCAAATAATATTGTAAGTTAAAATTAGGACTGAAATGCTGATGTTTCATGCATATAATTACTGTTTTAATAAACTATTAACCAATCTCTAATTACAATACATTACAACGAATTGCAACGAAAGAAAACATAAGTTTCTTGTCAACAAAAATCACATACACGAGTTATCTCCCGTGAACCTCCGATTTGAACAAAAACCAGTGACGCTTAAACTCATACTAAATTGTTATTTTGTGTTTCCACAGTCAATATTTTTGAAGTTATTGGTTGTTATTTTGGAGTTATTGGGTAACTCGACGCAAATTGTTTTTTAGTGTTATTTTGGAGTTCGGCCTATTGGGTAATACGACGCGCCCTACGTTATTATCATAACCATGATGCATATATTTGAAATGAATTCCGGTAATTCTAGCGGTGAAGTAGAAGATGAAACGCACGTTCTTCTCCATTGCTCCACCCACAATAATCTTCGAAAAAAGTTTTTAAGTCGTCACATTAAAACTAGTTTGAATGATTCTATTATGCATATAATGAACGATGATAAATGTATACAAGATGTTGCAACATTCGTATATGAAATGTTCAAGAACAGACATTAAATACCATTTGCTATGTAAGGCCTAATATAATATACCTTAAAAGCATTAGTAATATAATTTAATATACTTTTAGAAACCTCTGTAAACCTTCTTCTATGTTCTTTGATGTTTATTATTGTATTGTACTTTGTATTGTCATACTCGTGTATATCATGCAGTTGTGTAATAAAGCATTATTATTGTTATTATTATTATTATTATACCCACAGGGCCTTTATTTGGCCTGTGGGGATATCAAAATAGTAATTCGTTACATTATAATGTATTATACATTTAAAATAAATTAGTTTTGTGGGAGGAATCGGGGGTTTTCAAAGTGAATTCCGGTGATTGTAAATGAATTCCGGTGATTGTAAATGAATTCCGGTGATTAGTCGGAATTGGAATTGGAATTTCGTAAGACCCGTATTTTGACGTTTTATACATTTAAAATAAATTAGTTTTGTGGGAGGAATCGGGGGTTTTCAAAGTGAATTCCGGTGATTGTAAATGAATTCCGGTGATTAGTCGGAATTGGAATTGGAATTTCGTAAGACCCGTATTTTGACGTTTTAAACCCTCGCCACCGCCCCCACATCTTCTCTCTAAATGTTTAAAAAAAAACAAAACAAAAAAAACAAGTATATATGCTTTGTGCCCAACAAATAATGAACACATAAAGAGAGGAATGAGTATACATGAACGTGCTTTTCACACTCGGCAAACCTCAACAGATTCCAGTACCCTACATGTACCGGAATCTGCCGAGGTTTGCCGAGTGGTGCTTTTCACTGATATGTAACATGATATCTGGAATTTAGTATTATTGCCCGTATTTTGATATTGCATACCATCCCCCCCACCCACCTTCCCGTAATCATGGTAATATAGTTTAGTACCATCCAAGATAAGTAAATTTCTTATACACGTGCCAGGTTGATTTCCTGCGTTCTGGCTTATAACTTATACTATAGTGCCTACAAATTTATACGTTAGAATTTCTGCTCTGAAAGCGGCTGGTAGCTCCTCCCCTATTTGGTATTTTGAAGGGTGACATATATCGACTGTACCTTTGATTTGAGCGCCAGATTTAACAATTGGCTCTATAAATATTATCGTTGAGAAATATTTGGGCTAAATATGTTTATTAAGTCGATGGTTGTTGATGGATTTAAGTCCTACGCACAGAGAACAGAAATAAATGGCTTTGATCCATTATTTAATGCAATAACTGGATTGAATGGAAGTGGAAAGTCGAACATTCTTGATGCCGTTTGCTTCTTACTTGGCATAACGAATTTGACACATGTAAGTAAAGTAGCATGTAGTGTAGACTAGGCCTACAAACCAAATTTTATTTATAAGCAATAGCTTTGCAATTTGGCACATAAATTATCAGTGAAGTTAGAATTTCAAAATGGTTAGATTTGTTCTCTGTAATCCGGGTATCATTTAATTATTAATTAAAGGAGCTAAATCGCTAATATTTGGGACCTAGAAATTGACACAAATGGGTCAGAACGCATAGAGTAATATGAATGTATATAAACTGATTTACATTCAATTATTTCCGTCTTTACTCTCATTTCAAATCAGTTATGTTCGGCGAAATACGCCTGAAGTCGCAATCTAAAGTAAATCTCTAGCCTCTGGTTATTCACATAGCATCACGCTAAGCTTGTATTGCGTATGCTCTCCAGTCCAGGTAAGAATTATCATGTATGCGTCACCGTCTAGCCCTTGTTAAAAATGGGCTGAAACGCATTATGGTACACGATTCGTGTACCAATGGTAATTTTTATACGCTCACATTGAAATGTGGACGTATATTGCCGTCGCCCCCGTCCGTCCGTCCGTCGTCCACAATTTCTTGTGAACTCTCTATCATCCCAATTGTTTTAAAATTGATATATGTTGTTTACATTAGTGAGATGAAGAAGCCTATTGCATTTCAATAATTTCCGTTTATTACATCTAGAGTTATGGCCCTTGTTTCACTTTGTTGAACCTTGTGAACGCGCTAATGCCAAAAGTTAACATACGATCTTTGTGAAATTTATATGCATTATTTAATTTAGTGAAACAAAGAAGCCTATTGAATTTCAGCAATTTCTGTTTATTACGCCTAGAGTTATGGCCCTTGTTTCACTTTATTGAACCTTGTGAACGCTCTAACACCAAAAGTTATTATCCAATTTTTCTGAAGTTTATATACATTATTTAGATTACTGAAATGAAGAAGCCTATTGAATTTCGGCAATTTCCGTTTATTACTTCTAGAGTTATGGCCCATGTTTTACTTTATTGAACCTTGTGAACGCTCTAACACCAAAAGTTATCATCCGATCTTTCTGAAATTTATATGCATTATTTAGATAACTGAAACGAAGAAGCCTATTGAATTTCGGCAATTTCCGTTTATTACGTCTAAAGTTATGGCCCTTGTTTCACTTTATTGATCCCTATGAACACTCTCAAGTCAAAAGTTATCATCCGATCTTTCTGAAATTTATATGCATTATTTAGATTGCTGAAATGAAGAAGCCTGTTGAATTTCAGCAATTCCCACTTATTATGTCTAGAGTTATGGCCCTTGTTTCACTTTATTGATCCTTGTGAACACTCTAAGTCAAAAGTTAACATCTGATCTTTCTGAAATTTATATGCATTATTTAGATTACTGAAACGAAGAAGCCTATTGAATTTCAGCAATTTCCGTTTATTATTCTAGAGTTATGGCCCTTGTTTCACTTTATTGAACCTTGTGAACGCTCCAACGCCGAAGGTTATCATTCGATCTTTGTGAAATTTATATGTGTTATTAAGATTAGTGAAACGGAGAAGCCTATTGAATTTCAACAATTCCCGTTTATTACGTCTATAGTTATGGCCCTTGTTTCACTTTATTGATCCTTGTGAACGCTCTAACGCAAAAAGTTATCACCTGATCTTTGTGAAATTTATATGCATGATTTAAATTAGTGAAACGAAAAAGCCTATTGAATTTCAGCAATTTACAATAATTACTTCTAGAGTTATTTCCCTTGTTTCACTTTGTTAAACCTTGTTAATGCTCGATTTATGGTAGTTATCATCCGATATGTATGAAATTTATATGCATCATTTAAATTTGTGAAACAGATCTATTGAATTTCAGCAGTTTCCGTCAGTAATTTCTAGAGTTATGGTAATTGTTAACGTTTGAATGACAAAAGTGATCATGTGATCTGTATGAAATTTATATGCATTATTTAAATTAGTAAAACGAAAAAGCCTGTCAAATTTCAACAATTTCTGTAGATTACTTCCAGAGTTGAGACCCTTGTTTCAGTTTGTAGAACCTTGTTAACCCTCAAACGACAAAATTTATAATCTGATCTGTATGGAACTGTCTTGTAAAGGCCCCCAATTACCTACAAAGGAATAAATATGCGACAACCCTTGCAACCGCTCGGACGATTAAGCTGCTGTGGGCGTATGTTTTGTTGCCTGGTAACCTATCTTTTTATTTTGTCTTAAATATTGGATATCAGAAGCCCATCTTTTCCCGGTAAGATCACAACATGGTAAATACCATAGGCCTACTTGTCGTGTTCGGGTGCACAAATGGGAAAATCAACATGGCTGTCATTTTGAAATTATTTATTGTTTGTCTAATGATGATGATGGTTTTTACAATAATGCGATTCCTTTATGACTTTATACTACATTATTTGAATAAGTGCAGACAAAACCGCAGGTAAGATATGTTTTCTTTCAATTCGTATATATATACTCTTACATTTGGCTGTCTATAAGCATAATATTACATGTAGGTCCATGCTGTACACACTGCAATGTATTAATTATGTTATAGAAATGTATTTGACATCAAACTAATTGACACAGAGAAAACTAACTGCGATCTTTGTTTCCACCTTCAAAATGTGTATGAATTTGAAATATTAAAGATTTTTATACTATTATTCTTCTTGAAAGTATGGCCCGATCAGCACCAGAAAGAAGTAAATGCACGCAAATTCAACAATTATTATTTTGATAACTTATTGGAGCAATCGATGGTTGCCACATCAGAATTCAGAAGCCAATAAGACGTGGAGACGATTATTTGAATAGGGAGGACTACTATTCCATTTTGTTACAGGGCATCTGTGACCACTCTGGATGATTTATTGACATTTTCGTTGGGCCCCCAGGAAGGGTCCATGATGCAAGAATGTTACGAAACTCACCATTTTTCAATAGCTGGCAGGCAAAAATGGGGGACATGAAACTTTTGGGAGATAGTGCATATATATATGTAATGATTTCCCATTTATTCTTACGCCTAAACGTGATAATGGTATTTTAACACCAAATGATAGAGCAAAGAATACTGCAATAAGTAGGAAAAGGGTCATTATTGAAAACTCTTTTGGTAGACTCAAGTGTAGATTTCGAAGGCTAAGAGACCTACTAAATAATAAGTTAGACGTATCCGTTCAATAAATTGTTGCTGGATGCACTCTTCATAATATATTATAGACCAAGAGCCAGTGACGCAAAAACTGCCTCATAAGTAATAGAAGGTTTGACCATATTAATTGGCAGCTATTGATAGGGCAAATTCAAAACATCCAGTCTTACAAGGTTCCAGTGGGGCATTTGGCTGGGAAGGGCAGATAAAAAGGGCCAAAAAGGGCTAAAATTTGCCTCATAAGTAATAGGATCAGAATTAGTTCTAAAATGTTGCCATACAATGTATGAATATAAAAAATATAAATCTGACTGGGAAAAGTGGGGCCATGCCCTTTTCTGACTGGCTTAAAAAGTGCCGACGGGGGCCAAAATTTGCCTCATAAGTAATATAGTTGAAATTGGTGCCAAATGTTAGCTACATGTATGTATGAGCCGATTCTAAAAATATCAAATCTGACAGGTTTTAGTGGGGCACGTCCCTAATCTGACCACTTAAAATCTGCCCGATCTGCCACGGCCACAAAAAAGGTCCAAATTTGCATCATAAGTAATACGATCAGAAATAGTTTTGAAATGTTGTGGTGCTATATCTGAATATTAAAATGCAAAATCTGACCGGAAAAAATGGGGCCACGCCCCTTTCTGCCTGCCCTAAAAAGTGTGGACGGGGGCCCAAAAATGCCTCATAAGTAATAAGATTGAAATTGGTGCCAAATGTTAGTTAATTGTGAGATTCTTCCAAAAATATCAAATCTGACTGGTTTCATTGGGGCAAACCCCTAATCTGACCACTTAAATGTGCCTAATCTGCCGCGCCCACAAATAGGGTCAAAATTTGCCTCATAAGTAATATGACTGAAACTGGTGTCAAATGTTAGCTGTGTATTAGTCTGTTCTAAAAATATAAAATCTGACTGGTATCAGTGGGGCATATCCCTAATCTGACTACTTAAATATCACAACCCACCACACCAGCAAGGTGAATACACATTTTGTTATCACTTTAAAGTTAAATCTACGAACTGAAATATGATTCAAATTTGTGTCAAATGTCTGTGAGTAGGTTCTGTTTGACTTATAAACCTTTCAGAACTTTCTATATCTGGCCTAAGGCCGTGTTGAATTGATTCCTTGTTTCTCCTCGCCCGCGCGCTTAGGTCGAGGACCCCGAAAATCGTGCGCTTACGTTTTTAACACAAAAAAAAAAATTCAAAAAATTACGTTAATAACATCTAAATAAAATTCTACCAAACATCAGAAGTCAATTCTCGTTGTTTATTCCTCGTTACGAACTAAATAAGTAAGTGCACGCACGCCTTACAAAATGGTGAGCTATGCCGGGACATAGGTAAATTCGCGTACCGGTCGGCCTAATTTATTGATGTTCAAGGAAATAATAGTGGCCCCGTTCGTTCGTTTCTGGAGTTTAACGAACGAACGAACAAACGGGACCACTATTATTTCCTTGAACATCAATAAATAAATTCGGCCGACCGGTACGCGAATTTACTTATCTCGACTTGACTTCGGTGGTTATTCCCAGCACTTTCACGTTCGATGATATTATCGAAACCATCTATACATGTAACTCAACAAGCAAATCAAATATCGTCTAACTGGAATGTTTCCATTGTATTTTAACACAAGAATACGGAAAATTTATATCAAAATATGGTTATTTCATTTTTTAAAAAGTTAAACAAAGAAGCCACTTGTTACCAAATTTTAGTTTGTTATTAAATTTATTTAATTAAATATTATCTGTGTTTTTATTCTAACCAATAATATAACTAGATTATTTATAATATTATTAAAAATGGTACACAACCCTCAGACTATATAGGTATTAT